TGGCAGCAAGCGTGTTTTGCACAGCCACATAGAGCGGACCCTACCGCAGCCTGTGCCAGCCTTGGCAGCTCCTGGCAGCGGAGCAGGGGCTTGGAGGGCACGCAGGCGGATAATCTGGGCGACGAGTCGGGGCGACTCGTCGTTCCAACGCCCCCCGGTCTCGCAAGGAGGCACGCACAGCCCCTGCGGTCCTCGCCGGAACAGTTCGTGGCAAGTAGAGCGCTTGCGGCGTTCTGCAAAGGCCGGGGCAGCACCGTCCCTGGTCGTCGAGGAAGGTTGTGCCGAACGCAGAGTCGCGTCACAGCACAGCGCCTCGCCGCGCCGTAGGCTTCGGAGTCGAGCTTTGCTTGAGCTCCTGGCCCAGCCCCGCCTCCAGGAACCATAGGGAAGCACCGGTGCCAAGCGGCTGCCCTGGTTGGGCCGTACGAGCTAAATGCATGTAGGAGTGTCGACCTTTTGGCAAATCGCAGAAAACGGCGTCCCCGTGAAACAACATCCTGCTGGCCTTTCGCAAGTTCTGTATGTCGTTCGACTTCCATCCTCCGTTGCAAGGTTGTTGTTGTATTGCCGACCCCCCGTCTGGAAGCGAAATTGGGGGGTCGGGGTTGTTGCCATTTTCCGCAAATTCTCACACTCACCTCCCGGCGAATAGTCGCACGGGCACATGTTCACCGGCAGGCCAGGGTGCCCAACGGGAGTGACAAGACTTGCGCGCCGACGGTGGACGGCCCTCGCGTCGTTTTGCTCCGGGCATATGTTTGCTCGCTCCTGGTGCTGCCCATCACAAGGATATAAACACCACTTATACAGTCATCCACGATGCGGGGCTAATGTGGCCTCTTGAGGGGACTAAATCATCTTTAGTATTCTGTTTCGCTCTATTGAGGGGGCCTTTATTAATCGCGAGGTAACATTACTCGGTGGATCCCTCGTGCACGTTGGCTGGGCAGTGCGTGAGCAGGATGGTTACCTCCTCGCGCCCGTCCACGAAGCGCTCCTCGAATGCTTTCGCGGCCACGAGTCCGAACCCGCAAGTCCACGGCACGGTTAACACAGTGCTGCGCTGATCTTGGAATCATGTTGGACTCTGTTTGCGAGTGTCTGCATGCTGATGAGACGATCGCAAGCCGTAGTGACGGCATTAACACGAGGGGAGCCTTGCACCTCTTCCAAGTTGCTGAGCTCCAGCATACAGGGATGGCTTGATCTGAAATCACTGGGTGAGCGCTGCGTGAGCGACTGCTTCAATAAAGTAGCTGGCAGGGCAAGCAGTGTGCCTAGCCTTTCGGCGATGGAGGCAAACAGCCCAGTTGCTACTAAAGCACATCTCCGGCGCCCCCGATTGGATTGGTCACAACCGAAGCGACTTCACCACACTGCCGCCGCTCCTGGCACGCAGGGCGAGAGAGCCACAGCAGCCGCCGAAGCAGGCATGCGATTCGGCCTCGTCGCCATGGGTGCGCTGAGGACGAAGTGCGCGGTTGGACCTGTTTTGTCTGGCGCCGCGCATGTTGCTTTGCCGCTGACCCCACCAGCGACACCGCCCGGGCCAGCTGCGCCACATCCCCAGCGCCTCGTCGTACTAGAGGCGCGGAAAAAAATGCCAGGAGGTGTGCATGCCACATCATACGGCCTCAGCACCCGCACTGGCACCGAGGCTGTCAGTCGCCTGCTCTGTGCCGCCACCGGAGCATGCCCACGCGCCACCATCCTCTCAATCGCTGCCGTTGGTGCGATCGACCTTTTTTACGCAGAATTCATCAATTTGTGTCGGGCAATTCCACGGATCCGGGCGTTGGTCACCACATGCCCTCCTTCCTGCGCTCGGCACCCTCCAGGTTCACTCTGTGGTCTCTTTGGACTTGTTCTTGGTGCGCTCATTGGCCATGACCTTGTCTGGGTCCTGCGCTGCGGAAGGCGAATGCGGCCTCACCGTCTCGGGACCCCACCGCGGGTGTATAACGCCCCCTCCCAGAGCGGCGAGAGCACGATGCCATACGATGCCCAGCCGCTGGGGTCTCTGTCGCAGCAGTTCGGGGTGAGCAGTGCCAATGCAGGGTGCACGGGGACCTCCGCGAAGCATGATGTCGTGGCACAGTGCATCACTGCAAAAAGCAACGCATCGACCTGGCCCTTATAGGCCCAACAGCCTCAGGCGATGCTAGATGATACGAGCGCAGGTTTGCTCGAGTAGTTTCACTTGGCGGGCGAGCAGCCCAGCGCGAGAGCGCGCGGCATGTAGCGATATGCGTCGCAGTCAGACGGCAACGGTTGCCAGCATCACCCTGGAGGATGGCACGGAGCCACAAGCTGCCGCATGTGGTCTCTGCGATCACTGCCTGGCCTTCGCGGTGGTCACGAGACACACAAAAGGCACACATGAGGTGCCGTCGCCACACCCCGTCGAGCAACCGAGCATCGGTGTGGGCGGCGTGGAATTCCCGGCGCCAGGGCTGCTGGCGACTGCTCCCATCGACCCAGCCTATCTTTCCAAATCTTTCCTATCTGAATCATGCCCGCACTGTTCTCCCCTGTCCAAACAGATATCAAACGTCTTGGCTTGCCTTGAGGTGCATCCTCGCGCCTCCCCGATCGGGCCATCAAGTCGAACTGCTTTAAAATTAATTTAATGAATACACAGTACGGACAAATGTTGGCAGCAGCACGTAGCGAAAGCAGGTGCAAGGCAGGTGGCCTTCAGAGCCAAAACTTCTCTAAATAAGAAACACATATGCTCTCTTGAAAAGTAGCTGCGCCGTCTTATGGACAGGCGGCGTAGCTCTCTGATGAAGTGCAAGCCAAGGATTCTCGTCGCATGTGTGACTTAAGTACGGTGTTCACGCGGTGACATGGTGGATGCCAGTAGTGGCAGCGTCTGACAGAAGCCACAGAGAAAGGGGCTCATGAGGATCAACAGGCATTCACGGCAAAATCCGGAGTCGCAGGCAGCAAAGCCCATCAGAGCTGAAGTCCCCGCAAGGAAAGCCGTACTCGGACGCGCGCCCTCGAATTTTCAGGCTGCATCCGGCAAGGAACAAGCAATCGGAGTCACGCCTGCAGACATCTCACAGGTGCTGGGGCATGTCCTTTTGTCGTCTGTGGAAATGGGAAGGTATGTACATGGGCATGCCTCCATATGCGAGGTGCTTGCATCGTCACAAGGACTACAGCAACAAAAGGATGGTCTCAAAACGGTGGCTGTGGCTTTGTGGTGCTTGAGGGCTTGGATCTTGATGCCAAACTGCAAACCTACTTTGATCGTCGACTTTGCGCGAGGAAATACGCGTGCACAAGCTGTGAAGGCCTCAACACCAAATCGGACAGGAAAATCCCGTGATACTGTGGGTGCTGTACGGTGTTTCGGAATCTCAGACTGCCCGACACTCTCTTTTTCAGTCTTCATGCCGCGAGTTCGATTTACCGACTTGAACCCGTCACTGGTGGATACCCATGGACGGCCCATGAACCTTGACATAGACCTCGGCTGAGCAAGCATTCCATTGCATCTCGAGAGGGTGAACAGATCTGCATGAGGAAAGCTCGAAGAAAACAGTTCGACACGTCAACAAACCGCAAATATTTGGCAGGGTCTTCTTTCTCTCACTGCGCCCACGGGAACTGTACAATCCCGGCGACAAGCCCGTCTACATGGTGCAACATGGCACCCATGGATAGTGGACAGTCTCGCAGAGGTCACCGAGGCTCCTCTGGATCTGGAGCGTCTGTGCTTGAAACATTTGGAACAGGCCTGTAAGGTAGTGAACGTATGTGGAAACATCCACAGGGCTGCTCGGAGCACCACCTCCAGAAACGGCTCATGTAACCCTGAGAGACACGTCGGGTAAGTTCCCGACTCTGCTGGGCCTGAGAATCCTGAGACTGAGGGATGCGGGCTTCTCTCGGACTGTAGCTGTCAATGCTTAAGATGCTGGCCACCGAGCCAGCTGAGCCGGTGGAGAAGGCATCGTTGTCTGCAATGTCACTGCAAACGCTCGAGTCTCGACCATCGGAGAAGCCACCAAGACTCATTGCATCCATGCGGTCACATTCATGCACGCACTGTCGACGGGTGAGCTCCATGTCCTCGCTAGTTTGAAGCTGCTCTGCTACTCGCTGAGCCCTCTGGTAGGCTCTTTGAAGGGCGAGGACATAGGATTCCTCGACGCCTTCCAACGAGCTCAGCGCCTGCGACAGCAGAAGAAGCTGCTGCGTCTTCACGTCTCGAGCAGCAATCAAATTTCTTTGTTGGAGGTGTTCGGCGACCTCGCGTTCGAGATCCGCAGCACGGCGGAGCGTGAACATTGCTTTCACGGCTGGATGCTCCTGGGCTCGCCCACGGTCAGCAGTGGTCGTCAACTCAAGGGTGCCTGAGAACTGCACGGTGGCTCCGTTCCGCAGATACGATAGCATCCACTCTGCAGCCCTGATGCTCCTGCCCGGGCCAAAATCTCCGGGTGGAGAGCTCGTAAGCTCCAGCAGCACCATGCGTTCGTTGTCCGCGTGCAGATCCCCCAAATGCAAGAGTCCTGTGCTTGCATTGGACACTTCCTCGTCCTCGTCATCGCCCCCGTAGGCCTTGTCAACGACGGTGTGCATCCCCCCGCGGATATCCAAAACAGCTTCACTGCCAAACAGCTTCAAGAGGTCGTGGATAGATTTCGAAACCAATCGAGGAATGTCAGGGGCAGTAGCAAGAAACGTGTATCGACCCTTGCCAGCTTCGGCGATTCCACGCATCAACGGCTCGTCAAAGTCCGCTCCGATTCCAAACGTCGCCGTGGTTATGCCCAACTCAGTCCAAGCAGCAACTTCTCTGCAAATATGCGCAGGGTCTGTGACACCCGAGTTCACACATCCATCACTGAAAAGAAAGATACGCTTGACCTTGGCCTCGTCTGGAGTACCAGCGGATGAGCCGAGCAGCAGATGTGCAGCAGATTGAAGACCTCCGAAGAGATTGGTTGCTCCGCCAGGTCGCACTGCATGGATCTGGGTCTTGAGATTCTCTTTTCCTATCTCCGACAGGTCACCATCTGTGAAGATGGTTTGGCTTTCCTGGTCATAAGCGATGAAATGGAGCGTATCCTGAACGTCCAAGTGCTTCACAAGTTTCGCACAGGCACGCTTCGCAAATGCCAGTTTGGCTCCCCGCATGGAGCCGGAACCTGTGATGTCAAGATGCCCTCACCCACACTATTCGAACGAAAGTCTCAAAACTCAGTAGCCTCTGCCGAGAAGCGGTCCAAGACACATGCCACCTCTATTGGCGCACGGCTCGCGGAGCTTGCAAGGGGCGGCGTCTTGATACAGATCAGAGTTCGCACGGTGTTGCGCGCCCCGCAGAGGACGGTCTTGCCTGACGTCGTGCAAAGGCGAGCAAGGCAGCAAAAGTACTCCGTTTACCTGGACACTAGAATCGCGCTTCACTGGAAGCGGACAATCTGGGCGGGTCGCACTCTGGAAGAACCGCCAAGTCCAACTGATCCGCCTCTGCACGTGGAACTGCTTCCGCCTCCGGCTCTGGTGACGCCATTTGATAACTCCTCTCGAACTACGACGACACTAAGTTTGTCGAGGCAAGCTGTGTGCAACACCTGCGTTTGAGCCAATCGCGCTACATGTGGGATCATTTCACTGAGTACTCAGTAGCTACAGTGCTGCCAATTTTGAGAACAAAGCAAAATTTCTCTTAAACTTGAAGCAGATGCTGCTGTCTCGTGTTTGGCGAATACTCTTCCATAAGACGCTGGACTCACCTCCTCATTCTCTCTCCGGCGCATGTACAACAACCTGAGCCTCGACCGAGCTGCCTCTACTGCCTGTCCTCTCGGGAGCATCGGTGACGTGATAACAAGGACGATTGCGCTGTGCTATGCTGTGCTGTAGCAGCACTGGACAGTCTCGACTCCTTCCTGAACCATGATCCTCTGAGCGCCTGACCTCACCGTCACTGCGCTTCTCAACCTCGAGGCCCAAGGCATCCGATCGCTTCCGCTAGCCAAGAGGGAACGGAGGGGTCTGCGAGAATCGGATTCAGGGCTTGCGGCTGCTTAACCAAAGCTTCGAGCATTGGACCTGACTTGCCAAAGGAAGTCACGAAGGGTTCTACAAATGAGAGATCCCGACGATGATGGTTCACTGAACCAAGCGTAGCTACTCCATCGAGGCAAGGCTACGATCCCACGAGATGCACCGATTGCCCTTGCCTTTTCAGCTGGCTCTCTTCGCGGTGCGGCAGCCTGAGCTGTGACCAGGATTCAGCGTCGCTCGCCGAATAAGGACAGGAGATGCAGAAACAGGTTGATGATGTCCAAATAGAGGTTCAGGGCAGCGAAGACATAGTCATCAGGGTCGATGGCGACCTTGTGACCTCCCCACTCACCCAGCATCATCTGCGTGTCGAAGATGACAGCGAAGGAGAACACGAGGACGCCCAAGCAATCGTAGATCATCGTCGCTACTGTGATGGGTACGCCGAAGAGCGGCAGGAGCCCCAGGAGGAGTCCGAAGATGAAGAGCGTGAGGAGACCCGCAAAGAGGTAGGGTGCAGAGCCCGTGAAGTCTGTGGTCGTCTGGAAGGCGTAAGCCGTCAGGGCAACAAAGATTAGGGTGGTCACGCCTGCTGCCAGAAGTAGGCTTTCCGGTGTGAACATAGCACTGACTACACCGATGGCCATTGCCTCGAAGGCGGTGAATGTGAAGAGGAAGAAGTAGTTGGTAGGATATCTTCTGAGCTGCTCACGACAGCACAGCATAACGCACATCACTGAGAAAGTGCCCAGCACGGAGACCAGAAGGAGCCACTCGTGGCTCATGATCCAGGATGCCACATCGCCTGAAGCTGCGGCCAACAAGACGATCTCTGCAGCAATCAGCACGGTCATGGCCAGTTGCGCGGAGAGGATTCCATAGACCTTCCTTACGAAACCCCTCCTAACGGCTTTTCCGGCATTCTTCAGAGCGAGGTTCCCACCGCCGCGCAGCAAAGCCTCTCCCTCCTCCTCATCGAGCTCCTGCATCGCATCGAAGCTCCCTCCGTCCGTTCGGTTTCGAGAGTAACAGGCCCCAGAACCTTTTCGGCTTGGGCCTAAAGAGGCGGCGGCGTGCAATGAGCTCAAGCCGGAAGCCTAACTGAGGCGAAGATTCGGAGCTTGAATCAAATCGAATGTCCGAGTCTGCATCCGAGCGGCCCTGCCCAAGGGCCACAGACTGGCATCCCACTGGCTTGAGACGAAAAGACTTGCACAAAGTGTCGCATGCACCCGCCAATCCTCTGCAACCATGCTCCCATGTCACCATATTGCGGGTGTTGGGTCGCACAGACGAGCCTAGTCCTACCAGAAAAAAGTGTGTTCTCGGTCACGACTTTTCTGCAACAGCAATGCTTGGATGGACCGACGAGGGACAATGTGAAGTCTGAGTTGTCCGCACTGGCCCAGCTGCAACGGCACGGAACTCTTCCGATGCTGAGAAGCTGCATACGGTTCCAGATAACAAAAAACTGTGATCCTGCACAACGGTTTGTGGCATTTCGTGGCCCGGCAGTGGTGCGATCCACTGAAAGGCCAGTTTAAGGGAGATGCGCAACAAGCGTTCCAATGCGATCATGCTTTCTCTTCCTTCTCTCCCCTGCCATCACAAAGACATGTGCTTGCACATCTCCACCGTGCACCGAATTCAGTTGGGAATTCTCAGGGTTTCCATGATCTCGCATTTCCAATCTACCTAGTTTCTACAGCGAATCCCCGAAAGTTGGAGCATGGGTGTAGGAGGATTAGTGCTAGGATCCTTGTACTTGACCTTAAGGGCATGAGGACATTCATGTTCTAACTTTCTGGTTTCGACTGCATCCCCCGAACAACTGATGCCTCTGGATACCCACTAACACGGCATAGTGGGCACAAAAACTTGCACAGTCATGTCCGGACCCTAACATCAGCCAAACTGCTCCTTCTTTCCAACTTGGAGGACCTTTACACAGAGATTCAGCCTTGCTCTGCACTCGATCTTCAGCAACTGGGTCTGCTTCTCGGGTTTCGACGATTTCATAGCAAGGTTTAGAGCCTGAGGGAACCCGGATCGAAGCCCAACCTTGCAGCGAATTGGCCGCGTGAGAGCGGCATGGTTCGGCGACAGCGACGTGCTGTGAAGTGGAGAATGGACTTTAACTAAAGCTATCTTTCTTCAGCACGCGGCCGGTATGACTAGACACATCTGGTGGCCCCCTCGGCAGAATGCGAGGCTTCTTAGCGCCGAGGGCCTCGACAGGCTTCACGACATCTGGCACTTGTCAAGGCAGGCAAGTCTCAGCAAGGACATGTAGACATCGCTGCGACCGTCTCTCAGCATCATCGAAACTATGCTTTTTCAGCGCGGTCACTGCATCAGAATCATGACGAGGGTGAAGAATCAAAAGGTTGCCGACGATGCTGCTGATGATGGTGGTGCTGCTCGTGGCGACAACGAAAACGAGGAGTGGCAGGAGGCGGCAGCCCGCGGTGTTGATGCCGATAGTGAGGATAGTGGCTACGACACAAAAAACAAGCAATATCTTCTTCACCATTGTGACGAACCTTCCGGTGACTACGACTCTCTCTTGTTATACATGTCATGCTGTCTACCCTCTTGGTAAGTGGGTTAGGGTCCTTTTTAGGGTCCTTTTTATAGGGGTGCCGTACTATATTGGGGACCTAAAAGGGGGCCCTAAAAAAAGAGCACTACCCAAATAGCAACGCAAAAGATCCCAAGGATGGCACCAAGGTGGGATCGCAGCTGTGCAGCCTCAGGCCCGCCAGGCCGGGGTCTCGAGATCAACTCCAGGGATTTTCGGATTAGGTTCAGGGTTCAGGGTTTGTAGGGTTTAGGGTTTATTATAGGTTTTTTTGGTTTTTAGGCTTTTTTCTTATCACCTCTTTTCCATCTGCCCAAGGGAGTCCGGAATACCAAGTCAGGTGGAGGCATGGTGATGGGAACCCTGCTAACAAAAGGGATGGACCACCCACATCTCCCCCATACTGGCGCTACCACAGGGCTCCCATCTGCTGGACGGTCGCCACCCCGAAACGTCGGAAACACAAGTACCACACTTTTAGTGTTTAGGGTTTCGGGCTTCGGTTTATAGGGTTTATAGCGTTTATAGGGTTTAGGGCTTAGGGCTTGGAAAGCTTGGCATTTTGGAGTTTACCTACCACTGGACAGCTGTCGTCGCCAATATCCGCGGGCCGTCCCCGCACGTCCCCGCAAGCATAACCTGAGTGATGCTTTTCAGTTGCGTTCGGCTCGGCGCCTCGTCTGGCCGGCGCACATGCAGCCGGGCCTCGATCAAGCATAAGTCTGCAGCAGCCACGTGTAGCAGAACGAACATGGACCTGTCAGCACGATCAGCATTAGAATGATGCTGCTGATGAAGATAATGATGATGAAGAGGAGGCAGAGGAGAACGACAATGTTCTGACCGAGCCTTGCTGTACTTCCTGCATGTTCCTGCGATGATGTCACTGCTCTGATCAGTTCAAGACGCTGGCCTCGGCAAGCTCACGGCGCGCCTCCTCCACCTCACCCAGCTCTCGCTGCCAGTGCTACGGTTTAGGGCCTAGGGCCTTAGGGTACACGGGGTTCAGGGTCTTTGCATGTCCAGACCTTCGCCTCGGCTTCTCTGGCGCGGCGCTGGGAGTCCTTCCGAGCTAGCAGGGCACCAGCACAGAACAGCTCTCCCCTGAGCGGCCCCCCTCGGTCCTGCAGACACTCGCCCATGCCGCGCTGGAGGCTCTCCAACGTTAGGACGCGGTCTCGGAGTTGCGTCACCTGACTCTGAGCAAGGCTTGGATTCGGGAAACATCTCCCGAATGCCTGAACCCTAAACCCTAAAGGGCCAAGCGGCTAAACCCTAAACCCTTGAACCCCTCAACCGCAAACCCCCAAAGCGGCAAGCAGCAATCCAAGACGATCCCGTCCGAGCCGCTTTAGCACACAAAAAAAAAAAACAGCACGGAGGGAACGGTGCCTCGGCAACTTCCTCGGCGAGGCGTTGGATGCGGGAGGCCTGGTCCTCTCGGCGACTTGAATCAGAGGCGATGCGATAAAACAAGAACCAGTAAAATAGAGGAACCTCCAACGATGTTATAAAAACAAGAACCAGTAAAATAGGGAACCTCTCCATACAGGTGTTTAGTTTGACTCCCCATATCTCCGCGCTGCTCCGGCTCCTGGTTCCTCGCCTCGCCTTCGGCTCCGATGCGCTCCAAGTCGTACCGAAGCGCAGCATTGGCCACCTGCAACAGGGAAGATTGCAACAGGGTCGTCGAAAAAACACACGCCTCTGACACTTCCTCAAATTCTACACAAGAGTTCGAGGCCAAGAGACCAAGTCATCAAAATCGAACCCTTACTCGTACGCTGACTCTTACACTTTCCGCGCACGGCAACGTTTCCAAACCCTAGAAGGAAAAGAACTGAATCCTTACTTCGCCACCCGGAAACTCCCAGGTCTTGCAAACACCACATCTGCACCCAAACATGAACCTCAAAAGCTCA